CTTCTGGCACCAACAATCATGCCACGTTCAAAGTCACTCAAATCACCTTTCTTCCCCATACTGATGCTCGGTTTGAACTGCAGGAGATTGTCTTGACCATGTCTACATGCCTAAATGCACTGAGTTGCCGCCATGTGATTGGCTGCTTAGAAATTAAGTGTTAACGAGCAGTTGGACAGGTGTACCTAATAAAGTGGCCGGTGAGTGTATAGAGGGTGTATTAAATAGTTTTCTGGACTGTATTGACTGGGTCTGACTTAATTGGGATCATCACGGGGCATCGGTAAGAACGCACAAAAGTCCAATCACTGTTTTGGTTTTAATGGTAGGTTCAAGCCATCAACATACTCAATGCAGTGCATGAACAGATGTATGTGATATTTGGTCTGTAAGTGTGGTTTCTATAATAAGAACAGAAATACAAATAATCAGTTTACAGTAATAAGCATTTAACTCAAAAGAATAATCACGCGAGGATGCATGGCTATAAGTGCAAACAATAGACTATTAATATACGTGACTATCGTCTTATAACCATATCTCAATCGATTAATCTTCACAATCCACATAAATATGGCTTATGACATCTGTAGTGTGTAAATGCTGAAGTAAACATATGGAACATATGAGTTGTTATTATTTCACTTAAATACAGCGCACATCGGATCACACGTGCAAAGATAATGCACACAGAGATACTGCTAACATTAGCTTTACGGAGATACGAATTACCCTCAACATCAGAACGTTTCAACACATAAAACAACAAATAGCAATATAAACAAGATTAAAGACGGTATATGTGGAAATTAAACTTACTTTCAAAGTTACGCACACTCATACACGCGAACCCTCCACAGCTTTCAAGCGGAACATAACCAGTTGCGTCAAACTCTGGGGGCGGGACTAAGTTACGACTGTCGATCAGAGCCATAGAGAGAGAGAGTTGCGACACTCCCATAGGCCGCCATAGGAACTTTGGAATGCGGAAGTAACGCGTGTCGTGGAGCAGCCAATAGTTCCAAACACTGATAGTTTCTCCATTGAACCCCATTCATTTTCCGTGCTTCCGAAGTACGCTCGCTGGTAAATTAATTAAATTACTGTATTTTTTTTACTTTTACACACATTAGCCGACCTCTCGTGAATCTAGTCTGTAGTTATATTTTATGTAGCCAGTTTTAGTAAATGTTTATTGGAAGATAATAGGTTAATTGCAGCTTTACGTGACCAACACTTCACTAACGTTAGCTAACTTACGGTAACTGATATAATATATAATATTTTTAATAATATTTTATATGAATGTATATATATATATAACGTTAGCCTATATATAATATAATATATACATACACACACACACACACACACACACACACACACACACACACACAATTAATTTATTTAAATGGGTTAGGGTTATGCATATATGTGCTTATATGTATTTAGGAACATAGTTAATTCACTCATTAACTATCTCTCCGGTTTAATTTTATGAAGAATATTTTTCGGTTGAATATTTACCGAACATTTCTGTATATATCGTTGCTTTCTACGTTATGGGAGCAGTCTATTTCCCTCTTAAATCATTCATTTGTACATGCACAGCGTAATTATTTATATTTTATGTTGGTTGGAGTTCTGAACGGACTGCAGACCTCTTTGCGTGATCACGAAGGTAGGCTAATGGCTGAATCGGAATTTATACGCAAGATCACGGAAATCAATAGCCTAATACAGCCCAGTTGTGCTAAAATAAATATCATGAGACGTCCATCATCAGATGAATGACATGGAAAAGTTAAGTTAGAGCCGCTAAAGCCAGTGCTACTACCCATGCGAACATGAACACTAGCGTTTCCCTCGCAAATAGCCTAAAACTTATCTAAGTTGTCACCCTGCCTCTCCAAATGCAAAACTGACATTAACAAAATGCAATAACAGCAGAAAAAGTACTTGGGTGTGTGTTTTATTTTATATTTACCGTTTAATAATGCAATCGCTGCTGTGTCCATAGAAGAACATGACAGCCCGCGTATGTTTTGGAACTATTGGAGCTTACATGAACCACGTGACAGCCGTCACGGCGACATCAAAGCGTGTCGCAACTCTTTCTCTCTATGGCTCTGCTGTCGATAATTCACAACCCACCAATAAGAATTAACTTCACTGAGCCTTTTCAACAGGGTGATTTGGCTGTGGTCTGAGAAAGGTTTTAAGGCTTTGACTGTGAATGCTCTCAAAGAGGAAAGGTCTAGATCTGTGATGGCATAATCTACTGTGCTGTTACCAAGAGCTGAGCTGTAGGTGTATCGGCCGAGAGAGTCTCCTCGCAGTCTTCCGTTGACGATGTACAGAGCCAGTCCTCGGCAGAGCTGCAGGAGCTGCCGTCCGTGAGCGTTCACGGTTTGATCACAGTTTTGCCTGCTATAGGGTAAGGGTACAGGTCGTTATTGCCAGTGATGAATCTGGTACCGTGCGATTCAATGAAATCGAATTCTTCTCCTGTTCTAGCGTTTAAATCACCCATAAGCAGCACATTTCCCTGGGCCTGGAAATGGCTGATTTCTCTTTCTATATTTTGGAAAGTTTCCTCTTGGAAATACAGAAACTCGAGGGGAGGAATGTAAGTTGCACAAATGAAAACGGGCTTAGATGCTGATATCATTCCTTTTTGTATTTTTAGCCACAGGTGGTGCTGTTCTCTTTTTATTAATTCTATGGACAGGTCAGATTTGATCCATATGATCATCCCTCCCGAGTCTCTCCCTTGTGTGACTGATGTGAGTTTGACTGATGGTAATATTATTTCTCTGTATCCTGAGGGACAGCCAGTGAACGCATCTCCTCTACACCAGGTTTCCTGTAAGACGATGACTTCTAGGTCTTGGAGTTTTCATAAAATCAAAATTTCTACTTTTTAAGCCAAAGACTGAGGAGTTGTCTAGCTGTTGCTGTAATATCTCTCTCGTATGTCTAGCTGTTGCTGTAATATCTCTCTCATATGTCTAGCTGTTGCTGTAATCTCAATCTCTCTCTCTCTCTCTCTCTCTCTCTCTCTCTCTCTCTCTCTCTCTCTCTCTCTCTCTCTCTCTCTCTCTCTCTCTCTCTCTCTCTCTCTCTCTCTCTCTCTCTCTCTCTCTCTCTCTCTCTCTCTCGAAAAATTATAGGACATTTTTTATTTCGCTTTGAGTTTACCCGCACAAAGATAAAAGGCACTTTTTACTACTGCATTTACTCATCATATTTTGTGAGTCAGACCGGCCACTGTAGTTGAAACCCCTAACAACCTCAAAGAACGTTGGTGACTGCATAGGCATAAGAAGATCATATTAGATATTGTGATCCCTATCCACCGTATTCCTACGCCCCATGACGCTTTGCGCGAATTATGGGTGTAACTTCCGTTAAGCTGTAAACAATCAGTGAAAGGCTCGCTCTATGAACGCAATACGTTAAAAAAAGTGTCACAATGAGCTGACATTAATCGACTCACCCTTCAACCATCGAACATTAAAATGAAATTTAAAAGTTTAAAAGAATCAACAAGGTACTTTCAACAGACCAAAAATAGCCCCAAAAGCACGAGTCTTTGGTTAAATATCACAGGCAAATATACTATCTGTATTGTAACAAGCCTTAATCAAAAATGTTCATTAACTTCAGCATTACGTGACACTAGGCTATATCAAAGTGATTTCCGTCATTTTGACAGATTATAAATTGCATTTACCTGTGAAAATAAACCTGGAAAGAGACGTGAGGATTTGAGGAGAATAACGAGAGATTCTTCGTGCATTCCAGACAGTGAATTATTAATGGAATATCGTAAATTAAATTCGGGAGAACAGACCACAAATGTGCCGTATGTTGTCCTTTTTCATACTTTTACAGCGGACTGCAAAGGAAAAAATAAAAATCATCCTGAGGAAAATAAAGCAGCGACTGAAAAGAGCTCTTGCCATAGATATTCTTGTTATAACATGTCACGTTAAAATACCAAGTAGGCTATAAGTTATTCTCATGACGGATCAGCTTTATTTGTAGGGCTACCTTATGATTTGAAATGATTCGTTTCAGCCTTTTTGAATGGAAGTTCCCCAAACCGGAAGTGCCACCCATAATTCAAAACGCAGTGGTCGTCAGGAATAAGGTGGATATTTCCCATAGGTGGATATTTCCCAAGGCGGGCCGATATTTCCCGTCACTATTCTCTGGCCGGGCCCTTGATCTAGAGACGTGCACTCCCAATGCAAAAGAGTGCGGCACGGGACTAGATTTGGTGGCTGAGTGCGAGCGGCAATGCACTCTCTGTGTGTGCGCGGGTTGCAGGGAGAATAAAATGATTCGCGGGACTCCCGCAAACTAGAAATATCTATGAATAAAACATATAAAAACTAATACATTTCTGCAGAAAAGCAACAAGAACTAAAACAAAATAGAAACGATTTACAGGCCAGAGTTTCCCTTTAAAACACGTTTGCAGCGTTGAGCGATGTAGCCAATCACAGACATACGTGTTGATTTCTTCAACGCAAAGGCCAATCAGAAGCATTTACGATGGACTCCCCTCACCGCTCAAAACGGACTTTTTGTTCAGTGCTGAATTCTGTATGCTGGCAAATCCTCTAATTATAACAAACATAGTGTATATATTATGAAAGATTCCTTGATAATAACAGATGTGTGAGATCACGATGAACTGATGTCAATTTTTTTAGGAATTATTATGGGAGCGCACTTTGCGCGCAGTCATGCCAGACTATGCACGCAGTAGCCCGCTTGCTTTTATGTAGGCCTAATAACAGTGATCAGGAGCATGTATGCTGATGTGTATGGTGGCGACACGTAGGCTAACTTGAAAGTATTTGGAGGTACAGGAAAGGAAGTCTTTTTTGCGGGTGGGAGCGGGACAAAACATAAATGTTGCGGGCGGGAGAAAGTAATATAGAAAGTAGTTTAGAACGTCAGTTATAACGACCCACGTATTAAAAAATAGTCGGGTTTAAACCGGGCTCATAATTACAGTTAATGTGTCGGGCAGGGCCGGACCGGGCGGATGCTACCGCGTTGGCTGTTGTCTACTGGTTATTTAAATCTAGCGGGTTTAGTGTCCAATGACGCTGGTAGTGACGATTCTGTCTGACCAATCAGTGATCTGCAGTGTTTTTACGTCACATTTTAGTACCGGTACGGTACGCTTGGAACCTCAACAGACCAGGTACCATTTAAAGCGAGCCGAAGCGAGCCGTACCGTACCGGACCATGCAGTGGAAAAGCACCACAAGTGAGCCGTACCGAACCGAACCGTACCGTACTATGCAGTGGAAAAGCGCCAATAGAGACGGGAGTGTGTGTGTGTGAGCAGGGGCGGATCTACAGGGGGGCAAGGGGGGGCAGGTGCCCCCCCTCTCTAGAGCCTTGCCCCCCCTGCTGCCCCCCTAACTTTGATGATCCAAAAACTGTACTTGTAAAAACAACCTGCCACTATGTCCACAAGCTTCTCAAAACAGTGAACTAAACAATACATTTACCAAAAGTGAACAATTTAATTTTTAATTTTTAATATATTATTAGCCCCTCCCCCCTGCGTCCCTGATTCAAACGTGCAGAGCGGCGTTGGCGGCTCACACACACACACAGCGAGTCTGCTGCGGTGAGGTGGCCCTGCAACCCGACTGGAGAGAGTGAGCTTCCCCAGAGCCTCTGAAGGTGAAGTGAGTTTCCCCAGGTGTAGTTTAAACACACCAAAATCAGCGGTCAATTCGCTCCCTCGTGATTTGTAAGAGCACTCTTCCCTTTGATTAGCCTAATTTTGATTTTAGTAAAGACAAGAACAGCTTAAGGCGAGACACAAAAACATCGGGGTTTTTTTCACTGGTTAATTTGAAGATTTTGGGCTATTTGTCTTCAATAACATGTCTTCTTTCAGACTTGTGGTGAAATTTTTTTTCCAAAAAAACACATTTAGGACTTTAGTTTACTACACTTTGTCTATTTGCGTCAGTATTCTCCTAAATTCAACAGAAGTTGTCGTTTTAAATCAACATGTTGCTCCGCGATCGCTGCATGTCAATGTCATCACATACATCTCTGTTGGAAAGCTCTCTCTCCTGTACATTGTTGTCGTATCCAAATATGGTCATTTCCTTTTAATCAGCAACCAATCGTGAAAGTACAATGGGCATTTAACTCTAAAACCGAAATCTCATTGGCTGATGTCAATTTCTGACAACGTGATTCGTTCAGATGCATCACGTGACGTGCTCTGACATTTAGATATGCGTTTTTGACTGTTTTTCTGTTCAGTTGAAGGCCATAAATGCTGTGATTTAGGTGGTTTGTATTGTTGTTGCTAATGATTTGGTAAGATATTGTGTCTGTAAATAGTTGTTTCCACTAAAAAAAGTATGAATTTTTACATTACAAATCTTTAAATGCTGTTTTCTCAAAATTAGTTTTTTGTCATTCTCCAGGACAAACATCTCAGCCTGTGTAGCACCTATGTACACCAAACTTTCCAGTTATACACTTAGCAGTATTCTGAAGATATTTTCAGAGGGATTTGTTAATAAATCATTCCTAAAAACCTTTGTAGTGTGTAAGGGCATGATTAAACAATAACGTTAATCATTTAATAATGATTAAAAGTGTTTTTGTGTTTGTTTTGTTAAAGCAATTCACATATAGGGATTCCCATGTACCGTCTACCCCTGCCACCCTGCCAAGACCTCTTGCCACCCCTTTGCCCCCCCATATAAAATTTTCTAGATCCGCCACTGTGTGTGAGAGAGAGAGAGACTCAGCGAGCACAGTCTGGCCATAGAGACGGGAGTATGTGTGTGTGTGAGAGAGAGAGACTCAGCGAGCACAGTCTGGCCATAGAGACGGGAGTGTGTGTGTGTGTGAGAGAGAGAGACTCAGCGAGCACAGTCTGGCCATAGAGACGGGAGTATGTGTGTGTGTGAGAGAGAGAGACTCAGCGAGCACAGTCTGGCCATAGAGACGGGAGTGTGTGTGTGTGTGAGAGAGAGAGACTCAGCGAGCACAGTCTGGCCATAGAGACGGGAGTGTGTGTGTGTGTGTGTGTGTGTGTGTGTGTGTGTGAGAGAGAGAGACTCAGCGAGCACAGTCTGGCCATAGAGACGGGAGTATGTGTGTGTGTGAGAGAGAGAGACTCAGCGAGCACAGTCTGGCCATAGAGACGGGAGTGTGTGTGTGTGTGTGTGTGAGAGAGAGACTCAGCGAGCACAGTCTGGCCATAGAGACGGGAGTGTGTGTGTGTGTGAGAGAGAGAGACTCAGCGAGCACAGTCTGGCCATAGAGACGGGAGTGTGTGTGTGTGTGTGTGTGTGTGTGTGTGTGTGTGTGTGTGTGTGTGTGTGTGTGTGTGTGTGTGTGTGTGTGTGTGAGAAAGAGAGAGACTCAGCGAGCACAGTCTGGCCATAGAGACGGGCCGGCGCAGACAGACCTGTCACCTGGCTCTCCCGTGAGGACAGACTCTGCCCGCACTGCACCCTGGGAGTGACGGAGACCGAGCTGCACTTCCTCACAGAATGCCCAAAATATAAACGCATCAGAGACCACTATGACTCCAAAATTAATAACATATTCCCCCAATTTAACACCTGTAATCCAACCCAAAAACTCTGTTTCATTCTTGGCGAAGAAGCCAAATGCTCAATTATAGCTGCAAAATTTGTAGCATCCTGCCATATCCTGAGGGACGACCAGAGACCAGCAAACATCCAATAAACACACACTCACTCACAGCCTAAGACCTACACATACACACACACACACACACACACACACACACACACACACACACACACACACACACACACACACACACACACACACACACACACACACACACACACACACACACACACACACACACACACACACACACACACTCACTCACAGCCTAAGACCTACACACACACACACACACACACACACACACACACACACTCACTCACTCACAGCCTAAGACCTACACACACACACACACACTCACTCACAGCCTAAGACCTACACACACACACACACACACACACACACTCACTCACAGCCTAAGACCTACACACATGAATATAATGTTCAGTTTTTTTTTATATATATATAAATGATTTCTAAATCCTTTTTTATTTTATTTATTAATCTTTGTTTATTTTATTATTATTGTTTTATGATATCAGTATTATTATTTTTGTGTATACTAAATGTTATAAATCATTTTCTATGTTGTTTTGATGCTTTGGCAATACAAAATGTATTTTTTTGTCATGCCAATAAAGCTTTCTGAATTGAATTGAATTGAATTGAGAGAGAGACAGATATGCAATGTGAGATCGAGCAAGATAAATTGTTCAATGGTTTCAGGCTTTTCTCAGCAGAATCCACAGAAATCTACACTAAAACGCTAGGAATGGATAAATACAGCAAAAGAAAAACATTAAACTTTCTTTTATTGTCTAGTTTGATAGTCTGCCACAACTGAAAAATAACAGATATAGCCTATAAATCTAGGAATGAATAACAATTCATTTTCCCCCCACGATTGTTAATATGATCGGGTCAAAAGAGACCTGAGACACAGCTTTGGAGCAACTTAGTTGATTCATCACAACACGGTTCTCACTCTCTGAATGAGTGTGTGGGAGATTGGGGGTGTGGAGGCGGGGTTTCTGCCGCGATCATGATTAGAACGCTGCACATCTCTTCTGGCCACAACATCAAATAGCTACTCAAGTTGAACAAACTCCCGGCGTACATTTATCATGCAGAACTCCTCAACAAGTGAGTTATTTCATATAGCCATTTCAACTTGTATAAAAATGGTAATTTGTAAATTAAGAAGTTTAAAGTAAGCTGCTTTTCGGTGCTAAATATAGGCTTATTTTGATAATTGTTAATATTATAACTGTAAAACATGAACTGTTAAACAACCCTATTTTTTATTTTATTTAAAGCAGCACTACAATAACAACGAGTGTGTTGTGTGTAGATTTGTTGTTTAAAAATAATCAATGCTGGTGGGGGTGACAGATTATTAGAGTTTTTGGCAACACTTTACAATTAGGCTATTTAACAAACATTTGACTATTTAACGATGATGACTTCTACATGCATTTATTCATGCATGTTAATTTCAACATCTAGTCTACTAATTCAAAAAGTAGCCTACATTTGTATTTTATTAAGTAGCCTAACCAGGATTAATAAAAGCTGTATTGCTCATTGTTACATGTTATGTAGCCTACATTTAATAATGTAACTAAGTTGCCGTGTCGGAAGCAAATAGTTGCTTTCCAACCATTCGTCACACACTCTCATTACTCATTACTGACATCAAGACATGCAAATACCGTTTCTTCTCTGGGGACTTTTCCGGTCTCCCTGACAATTTGTGGCGACATTTACAGGATCACAGAGACTGTCACCGTGAATCTGTTCCTGTATCTGTTCTTCAGGCTCTTCAGTCTCGAGTGTGTGTCCATCAGTGTCCTGCTGTCTGTCTGCTCTCTGGAAGATGATGAGGACTTCTGTTTGTTCCTCTGAGGGTATGATTATTCTTTACACAACATATTATTCATTTATTAACACACTCGCGGTCAAAACACGAGTCATTTGTTTCTGAATGAAGATCTGCGCTGAAATAATAGAGTGTGTTTAAGTTGATCTTCATCTTTTGTAGAAATGGATCATGTTCCTCTCTCTGTAGAGGAGACCCGAGCAGAACCGGCCCAGAGTTCAGTGCGGCCATGTTCACTCACACACGAGGAAGAGTGTGTGTGAGCGATGATGATGATGAAGATGATGAAGAGCAGCGGGACAATCAAATTAGAAATTTATATTTTTATTGACTTTATATTAAATAGTTTCTGACCTCAACATTTCCACACCTTTGAAGTTTCACTGTTCACTGGTTTCCCAAACTAAAAGCATTTGACTTTATTAATCAAATCATTTTAGTATTTAAAATGTAAAATTTTATAATAA